TCAGTGTCTATGGAGTGTCATTTGTATTTGTTATAGTTTGGGAAGATTGAAAATCGGTACGGGAAAGCCGAGCTGAGTCGGTAGGCGGTAGAACATGTCAAAGACGGGTTGGCAGGTATGCGTCCTTAGCTAGGCTAATAAGTAACAAGCTAAGCTACCAAGCACACAAACACCTGCGAACGGGTACATGTATAATATGATCATTTTAGACTTCTTGGAAGTTCTGTTAGTACATTCAAGCGCACAGCACAACATTTTAATTGTCTGGTATTTGTAACAATATTCCCTAAAAGGAACAATCACCATGAACACGGCTAAAGCTAAAGGGTCAAGTACAGTAACTACAACTACAACTAACGTTGTAGCCTCTATGGTTGTAGCCTAGCAGAGTGGACAAGTTGCTGTTAGCTGACAGTGAGGCATGTAAATGTCCATCAAAGTGACCACGCCCTAATTTATGCAAAAGCTTTAAGGCTTAATATTAATTAAACAGATGAGTTGAGAAAAAATTCACCCCCCCAATCCATATTCATGAAGGGGGGATCTAACTATACAGAGAATATGGTTTTTTGAACCACGATGTAAACATGTTTATTTCTGCTGTAAAGTTGGGCATTTTAACATGGGGGTCTATGGAAATTGCTCCCTTCTGCAGACTGCTCCTACTGGCCACTAGATGAACTGCAGTTTGAGGCACTTCCGTATTAGCGTCCCGGCACTTCCCCAGAGTTTGCCGCTTGGCTGAGAACTGCGCACAAGCTGAGCTCATAAGCCGAGGCTCCCGGCGCGAGGCCCCCTGCGCAATGTGAGGCCCCGTGCAGGCTGCATGATCGGCCTGTAGGGAGGGACGTCCCTGCATTTAGGCCTACCAGCCCATTCCCCAGAAACAAACATCAAGGAAACAGGTGTAATCCTCTTCTTAGTTCGCTGTGCCGTTGTCAGGCTGTGGTGGTTTGAGGCCAGGGCAGGCTGTTGTTGATAGCCTACATGTGGCTATCAACAACACATGAGTGGTAGTGTATGTCCGTGCGGGTGTGAGCGCATCAGCGTGCGCTTTTGTTTGGGGCGATGGGGGGGGGGGGTAAAACAATATTTGCACCGGGGCCAATCACAACCTTGTTACGCCACGGGGGGGGCAATGGCCCCTTGGCCCCCCTGCTTGGCATGGGAGGGCGGACAGTACGTGGTACTTTATACTATATATAACCTATTTATTGTTAAATTACGCCCTAACACAAGTGTTCTTAATGCACAAGAGAAACAAGGTGTTCAAACAAACAAACTAAAATATGACATAAAACAGCAGAAAATACTCATGATACCATAGAATCCTGTTTACTGTAAGTAGCCTACAGTATTAGCACTTAGTTATAATTAAGTACACAAATGACATTACCCATCTCTTAAGAGAGCTAAAGGTGATCTGTGCAGCAACACATTTCAATAAATATTTGTTAATACTAAGAGCCGCTAGATTGTGCTGCTGTAATGGAATATGTATGCAAGGAGAATAAAAACATACCATGTGGTCCAGCTGGAGTTTCATCTGCCTCCTGATCCATGCCTCTGTCCCTCTTTCTGACACTTTATCTTTATTCCTCACATTTCTTCTTCTTCACTAAGTCTTCATCTCCTCCTGGCTTTCTCCTGCTCTGACCCTCCTGGCCTCTTCAGTAGCCTACTCTCTTTTCCTTTTCCTCTTTCTGTTCGTCCTGATCACTTCTCATAAATGTCTTTTTTTTATCACTCCAGCTACTCTCTTTTCCCACATTTATCATTGAAATAACTTATTAGCGATGTAGTTAAATAAACAGACATGCTTTCTAACCATCCACTGTTTCTGGCTTTCGTGGATTCACAATGACTCTGTCTGCGCAGCTCAAACGCAACAACGAAACCAAAACTAAAGTATTTCCTTTGGTTTCGTTTTCAAATAAATGACCTGACTGCAGAAAGATGCAGTCTAAGATCACAGCGGTTGGTGAGTGCTTATTTTATATCAGTTTAAAGCGGGTTTTATTGAACTATTAAATGAACAGACACGGTCATGTTTAATGCAGCCTAAAAGCTATGCAGCTGCAGAATAAAGACTCGGTGATGCTCGTTACCTTAAATGACCTTAGCTATAATACATTTCAGGTCAGGCTGGAGGTAAAAGTTCACATTCCCTCAATACTTCATACGACTTTATATTCAAACTTAAGGCATTAAACGATGCATTACCTTGCAAAACAGAAGTTATGTGTATTTATAAATAATATATATATTATTAAAAACGCATTAATAAAAACACGCATTCAAAATAGCTGCGCCATTGTAACTTATATTGACTACTGTATATTCTTAATTGATATTTCCCGTAATAAGTTTAACAGAAGGCAAGGCAAGGCAAGGCAAGGCCATTTTATTTATGTAGCCTAGCCCCTTTCAGCAAGCGACAATTCAAAGTGCTTTACAAAATAAAAACAAAAGACATTTAAGAATAAATACAGCATAAACACATTATTAAATGGCATTTAAAAACAGGCATAAAAAGCAAAGATGATGAAATAAATAAATAAACACAGCAGGTACAGAATACATGAATAAAAGGCATACTGCAGTGTGAGTATGAACAGCTCAATTAAAAGCAGCGGCAAGATATGTTTTTAGTCTGGATTTGAAAATAGGGAGTATTTCAGCGGACGTGCACGATCCGGGAAGTTTGTTCCAGATTGTCGGAGCATAATAGCTAAAAGCTGCTTTTCCATGTTTAGTTCTTATTCTCGGAACAGAGAGCAGACCCGACCCAGAAGACCTGAGACTCGTGGATGGTTCATAGTTACGCAGGAGATCGTTTATATACCTCGGTCCTAAGCCATTTAGTGATTTAAAAACTAGCAATAGTATTTTAAAATCAATTATTTGGTCGACTGGAAGCCAGTGTAAAGACTTCAGAACCGGACTGATGTGTGCCACTCTTTAAGTGTTTGTGAGGACTCGAGCAGCAGCGTTCTGAACCAGCTGCAGCTTTCTGATGGATTTTGTTGTGAGCCCTGTGAATACACTATTGCAATAGTCAAGTCTACTGAAGATGAAAGCATGGACATGCTTTTCTAAGTCCTGTTGTGACATTAGTTTTTAAATCCTATATATGTTCTTCAGGTGGTAGTATGCAGACCTAATAGCCTAACTGTTGTAATGTGACTGTTAAAATTCAGGTCTGAGTCCATCACTACACCTAGATTTCTAGCTTTATGAGTTACTGTGTAGTCTGCCGACTGAAGCTCTGCGATTACTTTTACAGAACTCTTTTATAATAGCATTTACAAGTATCTTATGATATGATATAAATTGATACATTGCATGTGAAAAACAACCAGAACACGTGCGTGTCACGTTGTAAATAATTCAGATATTACAAATGAAAGTAAACATCTCCATTAACTAATTGAAAGAGGCGTAATCAATAAGATGTTTTATCTTTCTTACCCCGGATTTGTTCTTATTTGTTTTTACTTTTTTACAAACGTGTGCTTTCCGTTAGTCTACTCTTTCATTTGGTCTTACTCTGCACTGTTCCTTGTGCTGAAACAATGTAAATGTACCGGCTGTGGGAAGAAATTATGGATTTCTGCTTCCTATCAAGAAATGTGTCATTTTTGATTGGAAATGGAACACTGTAAATAGTAATATATTTACTATTATTACTTCCCTTCTTGCAATTTGCCAACAGTGGCCTTCTGTGTTATGATAATGATGTTTGTTGGTCAAGAAAAGAGTTGGTAGAAGTACTCAGATCTTGTACTTGAGTAAAAGTAGAATTACAAGAGTGTAGGAATACTCTGATACAAGTAAAAGTCCTGCATTCAAAATGTTATTCAAGTAAAAGTACAAAAGTATGTTTGCATCAAAATATACTTAAAGTACCAAAAGTAAAAGTATTCACTATGTAGATTGGTTCATTTCAGAATAATACATATATTATATGTATTGATTATAATTATTGATGCATTAATGTGTTTATGACAGCTGGTAATGGTGCAGCTAGCTTTAATTGCTATATACTGTAAGTTAGCTTGCAAATTTACTCCAGGTGTAACTAAAGTCTGATTTAAATTTTGATTATATTTCACATCATTAATCCAAATCTGTAAAGTAACTACAAGGTACTTGATAAATCAAAGCAGTGGAGTAAAAGTATGCAATTTACCTCTGAATTGTAGAGTACAAGTACAAAGTAGCAGATAATTGAAATACTCAAGTAAAGTACAAATATCTCAAAATTGTACTTAGTGCTTGAATAAATGTACTTAGTTGCTTCCCATCTCTGGTCAATAGTGTCATTCTGTAGCAATACAAGGGTTTGAAGTGAGAATGTTTACATTCTCTTTACTAATATCATAGTCCCATTAGTTTTATTAGAGGGTTATTTAGTTTTGTTGCATATTCTTCCTCAATCAAAGGTGTCTTCAGTTCAGATTGTGCGTGAATTTACAAATGTGGGATTGTGTTCATGTTTGCCTCGTTTTTTCATTAGCTGATGGAGTCTGACCATGGATGAGGAGGTTGATCCTGACAACGAAAACGTGAACTCTGTCTTGGCTCAGGAATCCTCAGAACTGCTCCGAATAATTAGCGGTCAGACATCTGCGGTAATAAAGAAGTTGTGCGAAATGACGCCAAGTGAGGGACGTTGGGACGTGGTCCTGGGCCCCGGCAGCTCCTCGGCAACACACCACATCGAAGCCATGTTGAAGTACTATATTAGGGCCAAAGCTGCAGATTGCAGCAACTTCCTTCAGAGCGTTTGTATCTTGTGCGAGAACATCCCTATGCACCTGGAGTCGAGGCTCATGTCAGTGGCTGGAAATGCAAATAGTGAGTATGAAAAAATGCAATGTGCGTGCCTCCTCAGTCACGTAGTGTCGAAAACTCACTTCAGTGGTCAACTGACTAATGAGCATGACATTTAAACAAACATTGAAGTTAATAGGAAATACCACATAAATTAATTATTCCAATATGTTATTTCCACGGCTTAGAAAAGTTCATTCCATCTGAGAGGACAGAAACTTCTCTTTTTCAAAACCAGAAGACAAAACTGTTAACCTGAAGCTGCTTTTTGATGACCAACATAATGCTTTTCATTATTATACCAAAATTAGTTTATTATTTATTATATTATATTGTAGGTTTATCCATTTTAAGCAGAACTTATTTCACTACTGCCCAATGAATTGACCTTGGAGCAGTTCCACAATTTACACGACATGGGTAGTGTAAAATTATAATAATCTAAAGTTTAGTAAAGGGTAATTCAACAGCAATGATACAGGGCATGATTTATGGCTACATTTCTCTCTCTGGTTTGACAAGGAAGTGTGTAATGGAAAGCACCTATAATTTCGGCATTTATGGGGTGTGGCCAGACACCACAGTGCTGCCGTTTGAAATGTATGTGTTTGGTAACACATTGTTCCATTAACAATTTGTTTTTTGGCTGATTGCTGAAAGGGGCACACATACAGAAGTATATTTTAGATTTAACAGTCATAGTCCTTTTTTTACGTTTAAGTATGTGGATATGAGATCACCTGATTATTTTATTAAAGGCTTATGTAAATACTTATATTTGTTTTTTTAACTACATTTAAACAATGTTTGACTGCTCAGTTGATACAGGTGCTGTTGTTGTGTATTTTCTTATTGTGCACACAACTATAGCAGCTCCCGAAATAAAATGTGGCCTACCTGGAAGATTGATCAAATACAATGTTAGGCACCAGTGGTCTGTATTGAGATGAAAATAGTTTTTTAATGTCTTCCCTCTTGTTTCATAATCACTATCTGATTTGCAGTGAAGCGCCCCAAAGCACAAATAGCATTGACAAACTCAATAGGAAAAGTGAAAGCTAAAGAGGGGAGACGCAGGAGAGATCACCATTAGTTTAGTAAATCTTTTGACTTTTGTTTCACTTTAGAAATTCCCTGCATTCCCTTTGATTTTCTATTTCCATGTCTTGATGAATTGAAGCACTAGTCTTTTTTGTAATGCTCCAGTATTCTCCAGGATTTGTTCTGTACTATATGTTTGTTTTGTTTTTTTCTGCATTGTAGATGATTGTGAAAATTCCAGTCCTAGTGTAACGGATGGCAAGACATCTTCGCCGCTTTCAGAGAAGCAGCTCATCAAACGCCCACGGATTGGTAGTACATACACACAATGCGTCAACTTTGTTATATTACAGCTACAAATTAACTTTGCACCTGGTTAAAGTTAATTGATTTATTAAAACTGGATACAGCCATGCTGCTAATATGTGATATGGTAGTACTGTAATGTTAAAAAAAAAAGTTTGTCTTTTTACTTACTATAAAAGGTCATTATATTCTTTTTATACTGTGAACCTTTTAAAGGGTTCATTTGTGAGTGTTCTTCATAGCTGACTGAAGCACTTTTTATGTGTTTGACCTTTCAATGTAAAGTACATGGGTTGGGCTGGCAGGGCCAAAAAAATACAGAATAAATCACAGATGTCATCGCACCAGAAAATGGTGAGCAACTCTCCTTCCATTTAAAATATTGTATCCAGTTTCCACAATACATCCAACTAAAAGTGTCTTTGAGTTTTCTCCTTGCATCTGCGCATATGTAACATTATGTCCTTGATGCCTTGACATGAAGTTCTCGCATTTCCTTGACAGAATTATTAGTGTCAACATCAAGATGTAAACATAACATTTGAAATGAGAAGAATGAGATGTTTCCATTCCACAGTAATATGCAAATGTAAAGGGGTTACTGGCATCGTAACTCTGTTTCCTTTACTAAGTATTATATTACCAATGACAGCCGGTTCTCGAGTTCAGATGTCCTGAACCAAAACAAGCTTACTTGACTAAGAGCAACCATATCTGTTAATGTCCAGCACCTGAATTATTAATTTAGAATTTTATATTAACAATAATATTTTTACATTTTAATAATACTATCAGAAATATACATTTTATTTAAAGTCGCTCAAAGTCACTTTACATCTCATAACATCTCTCTTTAGATATATAATATAATGTGCAATAAGCAACAAAGCACAAGTAATACAGTCAAACATAATTTAGATCAACAATAAAATATGCAATTATTAACAGAACGCGATAACTTTCACAAAAGATTTATCCCGTTTCACTTACTGTTACTTTTTACACACTTTGAATGTTGAGTGTTACATAATAACTTTGTTTTTGCAAATTAACAGAAATGTTTCTTTGAACCTGCTATTACAAGTATTAAATATTGTCATTGCAACTTTTGCAACGTATCCAGGAGAACAATTCTGCCCTCTACACATTTTATAATGTTTGATTCCCACAGATCACTGGGAACGGTACATTGCTGCAGTGATGCGGTTACTGCAGCGAAGGTGGGATCGACTCAGTGAGCGCCTGGTGAGGGACGTCCAGCTGGAGAGTGTGTGGGTCAGCCTGAGAACGCCAAACAGAGGCAGGGACAGACCTGATCAAACCCCTGGATCAGCAGAAAAAGGGGGAAGAACACCAGGTTAGCATGATAGCTTTCAACATGTACTTTCATGTGGTACATGTAGATGGTAGAAACAATAAATGGGTGAAAAAACAATGAACCTTTAAAGAAATTCATCATAAATACACACCATTATTCTAATCATGCATTAATGAAGTCTGCTCAACATTAACTGAAGCACATTTTCACCAAACAGAGCCCGATGGGGATTATGGCTTCATGGATTCCAGAGTGACATTGGAGACCTTCCTTAACGGATGTGCAGGGAAGGTGACAATTCTTGTCGGCCCGGCTGGATCAGGAAAAACTCTGCTGATGTCTTGTTTAGGACAGCAGTGGGCACAACGGCTAGTAAGTTTAAAACATTCATCCTTCAGAGTTCGGCAGGTAAACTGTTATTTTCTATGTACTTTGAGTGGGATTCAACTTAAGAGTCAATATTTTATCGACATATCAGTATAAATGATTGGAATTTCACAAAAAAAGACAAAGAAAGTTAAATGATAAAACCACTCACCCTTAAAACACATACCTAAAATATTTATCCATGCCTATGGAATGATTTTGGAAGCATAAAAACAAATAAGATCAGAACCAACACATGAGAAAACTAAGGATATGAAGGTAGCACCTGTAGGAAAGTTAACAGCAACATCAATCACTCACCAGATGGACGGCAGTGCTATGTTTATGGTGTTAAGGAGGCGGACAGCTTCAGGATATCTGCTGTTCTGGAACCTGGATGTTCTGGTCTTAATGCGACTTAGTCCAGCAAGTTGACACTTAAGGCAAAATGTCACCTGGAAACTATTTCTGGCACCAAGTGGTGTAAGCAAATAACCCATACTGTAGGACCAACACAAACACTTAGCAGCTACCAGTTCCACCTCAGAAGAAGCTCCAACAATTTCATACATAAGTGTCGATTTACAGGTCTTGGGAAGTACTGTATGTGTGAAAAACGTTTTATAAACCCTTTTGTTGCCCCAAATGAGGGCTGGTTGAAGCTGATGCTGAACAAGTTTTTCATGTTTCCATTGCAATGGCCGGCACTTCGGCCCAAACATTTTTAACTTCAGCACCAACAATCTGTCGCCACTAGTTCTTAATGTCCATTGGGTTTGCAGGGCCTTAAAGGTTTTCCAATCCTTTATGTGCCATTAGAAACACATTCAATGGCTCCCTGTGGAGTTGTGTGGCGATCCAACTTTAATATTTGTTGGTCAGGGTTTAAATATGTGTCGTCTGACATAAGGGTCAGCAATATATAAAAAAATGATTTTACAAGAGTACTTCAGGAATTCAGCATTGAGCATTGCACGACTTCCAACATTGTAAGGCTCATGATTGTCAAAGAAGGAGGAACTCTGCACATTTGCTTTTTGCTAGTAGAGGCTATCCTTAAAGGGAAACAGGCTGCAGCTACCTTTAAAAAAAACAAACATATGCAGTACAACTCCACAAGACCTGTTACAGACTTTGGTGTGTACTGCTCTTTAACCGTTTCTTCTCTGCTTGGTTGATTCTTGCACTTTTATTTGGTTTTCTTACTGGTTTTTTTATCCTTTTTGAATCGTCAAGGCCCCAATCCCTTCGTCTCACCTGTTTGTCCTGCTGGAGTTTCGTCAGCTCAACCTGCTGTCCTGCCCTCTCTCCTTGTCTGAGCTGCTATTCCGACACTACCTCCCTCTGAAAGGATGCAACGAAGCAAATGTATGCAGACACCATCAGGACTTTTCTATTTGTACATTGGAAAGTAGTACGCTAAAAATGATATTACATTTAGAATAGTATAATCATATTGTTGTCAGGTTGTTTGGCTGGGTCTGTATTAATATTCCAATATTTTGTATTGAAATCTTCCAAAAAAACAAAACCAAGAAAAAAACCAGTGTGACAGTTTACACACACATTTATTTGTGTGACACTGTCATTTGTGTGACAGTGTCACACAAATAAATAGGGCCTTGTGTTGGTCCTGAAAGTTCCATTCATATATTTACAAAAATAACTCAAATTGAATTGAAATGACCCGTTATAAAAGAATGAATAGTTTATCTTTGAGAGCAGATAAGAAAATAAGTAGTAAGGGCAGGATAAAAGTTACCAAATAAAAGTATGTAGACTCAAGCGAGTCGTATTCAAAATTCCTCATGTTTTCTGTTTTCTGAACAGAGAGCCATTGTGGATTACCTCATCTCCAATCCAGAGCAAAGCTGTTGGGTGCTGGATGGCTATGACGAGTTTCACAGCAAAATCACCAAACAAGAGTTGCACGGAGAGCCGTTGGACGCAGACAAGTCTCTGCCTGTTTCAGACCTGGTCTCAGGGCTGTTAAATCGACAGCTTCTTCCAGGATGTACCGTGGTGGTCACCTGTCGTGCACGAAATGTCAGCGATTTGGAAGGCTTATCCGACAAAGTGGGGCATATCCTGGGGTGGGACCGCCATGAAATCAAGGAGTATGTGGACAATTTCTTTGGATTAAAAGGTGAAAACATGTTTACATTGTGATATTTGTTATTCTGCATTGCATGTCTGTAGAATGAGGAAATGGGATTCCATGGGACACCTGAAGCACACAGAAGGAAATTGTCCATTGCATAAGTTCTCACTTTCTGAAAATACTCTTGTTTTAGGCAATGGGTGGCATCTGGGTAGAGCGTGCAGGCACAACTTGATAAATTAACTGTGGTCTCCTAGTCTGTGTCCTAAATCCTCAAAATTCCTTGTATTCGTCTGATGATTTTAACGTCCGTCCTTACCTACAAAGTTCATGATTCTCACCGTCTTTCCAATAACAACTAAAAATGACCCTACCTGATTTTGACATTTAGTTTCCCAAATGCAGCTCCTCTGTTTAATGCCTTGAGCATTTTAGGGTTGCATTAAAGGTGTGACAGGGGATTTATCAGTGGATACAATTAACAGATACAATGACAAGGGGAGAACATGCATACTTGCAGCAACTGTGCATCACATGCTGAGTTATTTAGTTGGTTGATGTTATTTTGGTCACTTGATTTGGGTCCAGTAGTTATTTTGTATTGTAGACAAATACTTATTTATATAATTTTCCAAGTACCTTGAAAACATAGTTGCAGTAAAAGATGATTCCAAAAACTCTCCTTGTAATCTCAAGCACTTCTTGGCATATGAAGTCAATTTTGAATGTGTATGCTGCTTTCCAAGTTTCAGGAAATATCACCCAATGATGTTTTCATCCACCAAACACTGGAACATGCAGCAAGAACCTTTTTTGAGAGAGAGAGAGAAAATGTAGGATGTAATCCTTTCTCAGACCATTTACATGCACAAAAACATATACTGTATAACACACTACAAGAGAGAGGGAACCCCAAAAAGCATAATAGGGCCCCTTTATAGCTAGTTTTGATTTGGATAGAACTCGTATAATGCAATCCCTGTGCGTTTTAAAATCAACCTTTTTCACTGACACATAATTATTTTAAATTACTCTGGGTTACCTTTGCTCTGCTTTAAGATGGCCTGGGCTTCACCATGCTGTGTCACAAGATCATTAAACTGCATATAATAACAAGAATCATAACAGATCCATCCATCCATCTTCTCCCGCTTATCCGTGGTCGGGTCGTGGGGGTAGCAGTTCCAGCAGAGAGCCCCAAACTTTATTTTCCCTGGCCACATCAACCAGCTCTGACTGGGGGATCCCAAGGCGTTCCCAGGCGCTCCCAGGCGCTCCCAGGCCAGTGAAGAGATATAATCCCTCCACCTGGTCCTAGGTCTACCCCTTGGTCTCTTCCCAGCTGGACGTGCCTGGAACACCTCCCTAGGGAGGCGCCCAGGTGGCATCCTAACTAGGTGCCCGAACCACCTCAACTGGCTCCTTTCGACGTGAAGGAGGAGCGGTTCAACTCCGAGTCCCTCCCGGATGACTGAACTTCTCACCTTATCCCTAAGGGAGACGCCAGCCACCCTGCGGAGAAAACCCATCTCGGCTGCTTGTATCCGCGATAACAGATGCAATACAAAATCAAACTTGAGAGACAGGACTATGTCAATCAAGCCTGTTTGAAAATACTCCCGCAGTCATAAAATAGTTCTGATAAAGCATAAAAAGTAAAAACAACTATTCTATGGGTTTAAGATTACTGTGATATCTGTGGATTAGGGGGCTATTTGTGCTGATCTATCAGGCAAAGGGTCAGTGGTTTGACCCCAGCCTCTCGGATTACATGTTGAAGTGTCCTTGGGCAAGATACTTAACCCCAAACTGCTCCATTGTAAGTCACTTTGGATAAAGGTGTAAGCTAATTACATGTTATACTAATCGTTTCTTAATGTATGTCTTAACTGCATAGGTCACTCATCACACAAAGCTATCGGGCCGCAAGCAGCAGATCTTCTTCTTTCCAGCCGACACCTCGTCGCCATGTCATCCCTCCCTGGCCTCTGCAACACCTGCTGCATCTGTTTGGAGTATTTATTATTGGAAGCGAGGGAACCAAGTAAAAGAGAGATACATAGAGAAAGTGGAACTGAGGCAAGGAGAAACGCGGAAAGCAATGAAGAAAAAGAAGTGCACATTCCAGGAGGAGGAAGAGGGGAAGAGGGCAGGAGAGGAGAGAGTTATGGTCCGAGGGGAGATCAAAGAAGGAGAAATTACGACATATTGGCGGATGGAACGAATGGTAGAGCCCAGCGAACTCCAACAGAAGCCCAGATACCCCCCACCCTTACCCAGATCTACCTCACTGTGCTCTGTGCATTCCTCAGCCGTGACCCTGACGCAACAGAGAGCAACGAAGGGTCAAACGCCACGTCAATTCCACAGAGGTGAACACATAGTAGAGCACTGAACATTAACGCCATTAATAACGGCGCTCCATAAATAACATTTCATTTCAATCTATTTGATTGACAAAGTTCATTCAGAGTCTGATCTCCGGTTATTAAAAGCATTTTCTAGAAAGGGAACTGGAATCCTGGGAGATTTTTTTCAAACAAATAAGCAACTGTCCAACCGAATAATCCAGAATCCAATACAATTCATAAAAATCAGCCCACCAGGGATACTAAATGGCCACTTTCTGGTTAAAACTGCAATTTTGGATCCTGAAAATGGCAGAAATTGATTTAGCATCCTCAATGACCCCCAAATACAGTTTTAAACTATTGTCTGCATAGGCTATAATGGTAATGAATGCAAATTAACGCTATTTGGGCAAATGGCCCAACATAGGAAAGTTAGTATCTGGCAGTTTCTATGTGCTCGGGATCCGTACTATACATATCTAACATACAACTATGGGGTACTCAACATTTCCGTGTTCAAAATACAACTCTGTGAGCTGTCAACTAGATTAAACTCCTGGCAAGATTTATGAGCCAAGATAGCACAACAACATCAAAATGTCTCCAGAGAAAGCTACTAGTGCAACATATTCATTTAATTAGTTAATTTCCAACCGTTGCATCTTCTCATCATCATTCATTATATAAAGTGCAGCAGATGTTTTTTTTATTATTTGTGTTTTCTGTCTCTGTGCAGTGTTGTGTGCACTCTGGGTCGGCACCGATCTGAGTTGTGTGAGCTAAGCCAGCTGGCCTGGAGAGGCGTAGAGGAGAGCAGGATCCTCTTTACGAAAGAAGACATTTCTCCGGAGGTTTTGGACTTTTCTATCAGGACAGGACTCTTCTCACAGGTCAGGCAATGCGTGTACAATACGTTTGATTGAGTTTTAAGGGTTTCTTCTGAAACTAGGGGGTGTATGTGTCTGTGTATTTTTTGGGAGAGCATCTGTCGCCACACTTTTTTTAAACCATAATTAGGTTTGCTCAGTGTGCAACACATATAGAACACATGTTCGGGAAGCATTAAACATGCTATCACTCAACATTGGAGGGGAATTACTCATGCATTTGTATTGGGACTGAAATAAGATCCGCTTTTACCTTTAGTGATGGGGTATCTGCACTATTGTATAGTATAAACAACCACAATCAATCCCTCTGGAACAAACTTTGGGATTTTAGCCTTTGCAGACCATTATCTTGCACAAAAATATATACAACACACTACAGAAAGAGAAAACCCCAAAAAGCATAATAGGGCCTCTTTAAAGCTAGTTTTGATTCAGGTATAGCTCATATGATGCGATTACCTGTGAACTTTGAAATCACCTTTGCACACCTTCACATGTTTTAAATTATTCTAGTTTACCTCTACCCTGCATAAAGCTGGGCTTCTAGAGGATTCTAGAGTTGTAATAGCTTTGGGGATGATGTAATCATAAAGTGTGGCTTAATATATTCAAATCTGCTTGCACATCCTCCATGAAAAGACACTTTTAAGCTCAACTTGGAACCTCTACTTTTCACATTTGAGTTGGCATGATAAATAATATTTGTGTCCATATCTTCCTGTCAGGTGGAGCTCAGACGTGAGGATGGTGGGCTTGTCAACTCCTACTGCTTCAATCATCTGACATTACAGGAGTTTATGGCAGCACTCAGAATCATGACCAGTGCTGATGTTAGCGACACACAGCTTAAAAAGAGGTAGGAAACTCAATTCAGGGAAGACATGAGACACATCGCTTGTAATCAAAATGAACTACAACTGCTGTTTTTACATTGTATTACATTATCTGTTTGTTCTGCATTTACTTCCTCAGGTATTTAGATTGTGGAAAACATCACAAATCATCAGACTAAATGTATGTACAGTGCAGCCTGTATTATATAACCCAATTTCAATACCTCTTTTAAAATCTAAAATCTTTTACTAAAAATACCTCCTCTAAGCTTTGGAATTCCTTATTTGGTGAAACTCCATCTGTTTACACCACAGCACGTCAGTCCAGGTATCCGCCCACTTGTTGCTGTATGCAACCTGTACCTTCGCTAGAAGGATCATCTTATATGAAAAAACAAAATGTCCAATTAAACACCAGAGAGCTTATATCTAAACTCAATACCCAACACCTCAGTCATTAGTGTGCCGGATGTATTATCTGAATATTTAGACCAGTTTTAGAGTACTAAAGCATTTTCTGCATGTAATCTAAGGTGCTGTTTCCACGGGAACGAAACGAGTTGTATCTGCTACTTTTCTCTTTCGTATAGCCCGTTCATTCACACAAGGCCGTAACAGAACCGTGGAAACGGACCCCTAAAACGATAACGGGTCCCAAGGTGGATAGATCTGCGGACGGAACGCTCTGGGGGGCCAAACGGCTCCGTGTATACGTGCTATACGATGATTTTCCTGATAACGATGAAGCCATAGCCCCGCCTCTCCCCACCTCTGCTGCTCACTGCTGAACCATGGCAACCATGCTCGGGTTTCTTCTTCGCTGCTTCTGGTGTATTTTGTGCAGCGCCACTTACAGGCCCGGCATATGTACTAAAGCGTTTCCAGCGGGTTGAGCGGTCTCGTGTGAAGGGACATGTTTATTATCCATAAGCCCCCCCC